ATCTTTCCCAGCACCAAGGTCAGGCTGACAAGCCTGTAGTTCCCCGAATCCTCCTTCCGGCCCTTGTTGTAGACAGGTGTGTTCAACCAGCTTCACTGTTACATGGAGCTTATCTTCTGAAATATTTGTAGAAGAGGTTTTTCCTTATTTTCTCTTTATAAAGATGTCGCTCTGGAATACTTTGCAGTCATTATTACAGAAGGGGCTTTCTGTAGTTCTCTGATCACCCTTGTATAGTGTGCTGCTCCTTGAAACTAAATCAGGTCCTCTTGTGGTCTCTCAGGTTAGCTGCTCTGACAGACAGTTGTACATAGTTTCCAAAAGCATATATTGTCCACAGTGTGTCGATTTCCTCTGTGTATGTTGATAGCTGAAGTCTGCTGTTGCTGTGCTCTCTGTTTTCAAGTGTCTCTAACACCCCCGAAGGTTTCAGTAAGTGCCACAATTTGTGCTGGGCAGTTTACAGCTGTCTCAGTAATATCTTTCCTATTTAGGCATTGAGTTTTGATCACTAAAAAATTATTTTGATAACATTAAGTCAAATATAACTTTTAATCTACACTATCATATTCCCATAAATATACTGTAGTTTTTGTCTTATACCTTGGTACGGGTGTCCAAAAATTACTTATTTTCACGAAGTTTGGAAGATGCTAATTGTACCTAAGTTTACAACTGATTTCTTGCATGTGACTCAAAACCAGACATTCTGTTTCATGTGCCATTGTTTTAAGATCTTAGCATTTTAGAGAAAATCCCATGCTTAGCTGGGAATATATGTACTGGTTTTGTTATTTCCTACTTGAACTTTACGAACTTGCATCTGAATCTGTTTCTAGGACATGCCATATTTTACTTTCTCTAGGGGGCACATTATCTGAATTTTGTGCCCTTCTTCACATCTCATTTTTCTTCAGGTCTTTAGCTTAAAATTTCTGCCAGAGGATGGAGATCACATAAATGAATCTCATGTACCACAATAATCTAGCATTCAAAATATGAGATCGGATTTATAATGCAAGGGATTCTGCAGAGTATTTTTTTGGTATAAGGAAGGCTTGCTTCAGTTAATCAACTTGTTCTTTAATTGACTAAGCTGAAATAAATCTCTCTTAAATTAAAGCACTTGTTTTTGGTAATGCTTAATTATACCAAATTGAATTTGCACCTGAAGTTACATGGGTAAAGGTTTGCCCTGGAGGCGAGCCTAAAGTTACACTGAAATTGAATCTGAAATTAGTTGGCATGTGAAAACTTTGACCTTTGCCTCCACCTTCTAAGATCATATTGGAAGATAATGTGTGAAAAATGAAAATAGATCATCATACTTGAACAAGAAAGGGCAGGGAAAAGGGAATATTTCTAGCTTCTTACTTTCTAAAATGATTTTTTTCCCAATTAAAAGATTTTGCATATATCACCAGGTTCTTGTTTTTCTTTATACATTTAACTTTTCTATGAGCATATGTTTCCTACCCTATTGAAATAAAGGGCATTATTCATGCTGTTTTCTGTGACAGTGTGCTCAGTCTCCACTTTTCTGTTATTCCTTGGGTGCCCCTGTTTTTCAGTCAGTAAATTAAATCCTGCTCATCTGAAATCTGTATGTAAGTCTAGAAAATTTAAACATGACTCCAGGAATCAAGGATCAACCTTTAAGACTTATTTGCCATATTGTTTCAGCTGATTCACATAAACATTTTCTGGCACTATTTCAGGATAAAACAGGAATGGAATTTCATACTAGAATGTCGGAAGAATGGTATTCCTCAATCAAAATACCTCAAGAATGGCTTTGTAGACACTGATGAGAAGATCTTGGACACTTACGGAAAGATTCCTCAGCTCCAGAAAAGACGTGCTTTGTCAGATGAAACAAAAAAGGAAAGAAACAAGTTTATTTTTCAGCTTTCTGGAGAGCAGTGGACGGTAAATATAATGGAAAATATGTTTCTGTTATTAAAGAGTTTGGGTAGCTTGGTGCTGTAACTCTTAATCCCCCCAAACCTTTTTTTTTTTTTTTTTCCCCAATATGAAATTGATGCTTTTTGACAGTGTTAGAAGTGACAAAAGCATTTCCTATCTTACCCTGAACTAGTGGTTTAGTTTGCAAATATGCTTGTTTTACGTTCTCTACTGATACATGCAATTTAGACCTCTCAAAAATTTTGGTCTAACTATCATATTGCAATAAGGTATCTTTCTCTGAAATCCCCCAATGGATGGAAAGAGATGAAAATAATATTCAACTTTGTTGGCTTGTTGATGTCTTCCACTACTCGGAGATCTGTCTTCTTACTCTAATGGTGTGATAACACTTTTCTCAAGCTCTGTTCAAATCAAAACTAATATTAGCATCAAGTTGTGTTTGATGTGAAATAGAAGTTTGGAAGTAAGCTCTGAATTCATGCTCTTTTGAAATTCAGCAAAAGGTGGATTAGAGTTGGTCCGAAGTTTTCTAGAGTTGTTAAAGCTTTGACTGAAATTTATTTTGAATATACACTAATTTAATAATGAGAAAGTGAAATTAGAATTTTGACTTTTGTGTAGTTTATAATTTTGAAATATATTTTTGAGATTTTTATTACCAAAAATGAAAGTTAAAAAGTCAGTTGATAAAGTGGTTAAATTTTACTAAAGCAATTCTTTTGATTGACCTGAAATGTAGCTTTGTCCAAGATTTGATCTTGAATATGAACATGTTTTCTTTTTCAGCGTTGTTTTTTTTTCTAGCTGTAGTTCTTTTCTGAATAAACATAAAGTAGATTAAATTTCTGGAAAATAGAAAACCCTGGTTCCCATCCAGTTCTAATAAGGAGATTATTTCTTCAGCTGATGCCAGTAGTTCAAGTGGTAGGATTGGTTGCTGGAGAGCTGTCACATCTCATCTTTCAAGGACCTTGAAAATCATTGAAAGTGACGTTAAAGCTGTGTAGTCTTATACTGCACACTTTTCTGTGTTGTAAACCTTGTAAGTATGTTAGAAGAAAATGAGATATTATAGCTCCTTAGATACTGTTATAGTAGCAACTGCAAATATTTTCAGTGCATCAGGGAGTAGAGAGATGCATAACTAAACTTTTCTGTTGCTTATTGTCTTTTGCTAAAGTGTTAACATTTTGCTTTGTCACCATAAACAAGGCTTTACATTAGGAGACACAATCAAACATACTTAATTTGCTCTATTTTCCAGAGCTTTTAGTTTCAGTTTGACATGCTGAAAGATCACATTTAAGAGTTATTGGGGTACTGTTATGTACATTATGTCACCTTGAGCAGTACACTCCTAACCAGCATGCACACAGCCACTGTGCCTCATTGTCCAGCTCTAGCCTAGTTAAAGTGGGCTTCCTGTTTCAACAAGATACTGTGACGTATTTTAGATGTCTGTAGACAAAGATAAAATCAAAGCTGCTTTATTTAGAGAAGACCAATGCTCCTTCAAAATCAAAGAACATTGCCAGTCTCTAACAGCTAAGAATGATCTACAAAAATGTGAAAATCCAGTTGACAAAGTTCTGAAAGAAGTGTATTTTCCCTTATTGCAGAAATTTTGTGAAAATTACATTGGATATACAAATCATACCACTTATTTTGCTTTTTTTTAATCTCAACTGCTGCTTCTAAACCAAAGACAGAATCAGACATGACACTCT